ATTTAAATGCATCTGGCGTTTACATGAAGTGTTAAAGTTCAAAATGTTATCCGGCCTTCAAACCCTTATAACTTTGCAGTTTTCTAACCGAGTTTAGTTTTCACAACTGTGATTTTTAGGGAAGATCAACGCAGTTTTGATTCGCTTAAAGAGCGTGCGGTTTTTGTGCCTGAAAAGGCTTGTTTGGCACTTAAATCCGTCTCAAGTTTAGCTAAAGTGTTAAATAGAAAAGTGTTTTGCTCGATGTTCAAACCGTAGTAAATCTTGCGTTTCTAAACGGATTTGAATCGCATAAAAATGACAGTGAACCCAAATGTGTTTTTCAACTTTCGTAGTAAACATTTTTGTCTAATTTTCAAATTAAATGTCACCGCGCGCTCTCCGCCCTCTAGCTCTAAAACGGTTTAACCCATAAAAAAAAGTTTGAAACAAAAGTTGTATATATATTCGCGATAAATTTAAATACCGTAAAACTTACCGGAACCGAACTATTTGCAAAAAGTCGCCTAAAAAGGCGGTTTTAGAGGAGATTGTGCTCTTTACAACCCAGTGCACCCAAATATGTTTTTCAAATAATCGAGTTTTGACCTCAAATACCCAGGAATTTTGTTAACAATGCCAACATTGATTAGTGAACAATCTTGCTTTTACTGAATTTCGAATTTCCACCCGAGGCCAGAATTAAGAAAAATACGTGAAAATACTAAAACAAAATGCCATGAAACTCCAATTACTTTTTCATCAAAATTGAGAAAAAACAAACTTTGAAAAATGCCTTTTTGACAGATATCGCTCGAAAAAACAACGAAAAATTGCAGAAATTTCAAAAACGGTTCAAATTAAAATAGAAAAAACCGACAGAAAGTGAAAAACATTCAAAAAGCAGCAGGAATCATTTGGCAAGTTTTTGATGGCTAGAAAACTGGCTGCTAGTTTTTGCTCCTTTTTGACCAAAATAGCGAAAACTGCTCCAGTGTTGTCACTGTGCAACTAAAATCCGGTAACGTCCGGGTGTTGAAACAAGACGCGGCAATATTTAAGGGCGTGACTTCTTAGGTCATTCTATGAGAAAAAGTTCCCCTAAATATTTGTTTGAAAGTGGACTATTGAATCAATAATTCTTAAAAGTACTGAAATAGTTGGCTGTTGCGGCATTTTTGACTCACCCTATAGAATGCAGATGCCTGTTCACCCTTCAAATATTAACTGGTTGCGTGATCCGCCCTGAATTTTAAACGCTTTTAAGAAATATCTGCTTAAAAAGCAACTTGGGTCAGAAATTAATATTAGGATGAATTAAGATGAGCTCAGCCACCCCCAGATCAAAATCCTGGATTCGCCACCGTGGCTGCAAGAACTGTTAGAGCAGAAAAGAGCAAAAACCATGCAAGTGTTGGTTCTGGTAGTGCTTTGCACCCGATTTAGGCGCAGGAAAGAGACGCACTTGATAATCAGTCTGTGTGTGTGTTAAAATGATGTCGTTTGGACCTACCGCATAATAGCGGCGGCATTTTAGAACTATATGGACAGTGGAAAAGAGCAAAACCGGACACTCGACCAACACCGAGCGCTTTCTGGTAAACAAGCCGTCAAACTGGAAGCCGCCCGGCCGCCCCGATCCCGAACAATTAACCACCTTTTTAACCGTTCATTAACAGAAACACAATTTTTCATTTAGTTTTTTGTCGCAGAACAAACGAAAATCGAAGTAGGCCGGGGCTTTAATACGCGATCAAATATTTGCTCGGTGGCCGTCTTTGATTCCGGGCCGCCATGTTTGCGGAACATTCTGTTGTTTACTCAATAATCAATTTGGAAGCTGCCGAAGAGCTTACCGGCTTTGGTTCGGGGTTCCGCCGTTTTAGTGCCGATTTGTACGAGAGCGCTTCGAGTGGTGCCTTCGCGGAATTTCGCCATAGTTAGACGTGTGTGTATGCGTTTGGTACCACTTAGCACTACCACATGGATATGGTAATTAGATTGTCGGTCGGCTCAGCTTCACTTTGTCGCTTTTCTTCCCATTCAACTTCATGCATCGTTCCTTTCTATGTGTTGGTGAAATGAAGTGGACACACTCTTAATGTATGAATAAAACTATATTGATAAATCATAAAGACCAACACAGTACAAAAGTAGATTTCCGAACCGAAAACGATTCTGTATCAGCAGCGATTTGACGACGACTGACTGAAAAGTTTGCTCTCGCGATGAACAAAAATTATGCTGCCTAAGCAATATGGCTTTGTGGTACACTGTGGTCCATAATATATATGGCTGAACTTACATTGATAATATTAAAAGCATTTTGATTATAGTCTTATTTTAACATTCCCTCTTAATCTATATGCTCTTTAATATAAATCAATTTAATCCAACATTAAACACAATTTTCTGCAAAGGTTTCTTTTATGGTGTTTATAGCCTTTTGCCACAAGGCGTGCTTTGTAACGCGATTTGTCACCATTCGAATTTGTTTTCACTCGATACACCCACTTA